TTGGAGGACTTGGCACTCTGTCCCCTCCCTGCGCCTTCTCCTTTCTGTCTGCTGTGGGTGTGGCGTGTTCTCGCCTCACATGTCCACGCCGCCGTCATGAGGTCGTTTCCCAGCCCGAGGGCTCTGCAGGCCAGGGGTCCAGAGTGCCCAGGGGGCCTGGGACAGGCAGCTGGGCCTTGGCCTTCGGGGCGGGGGCAGAGGGCGGTGGGAGAGGGGAGGGTGTGGCAGCACCTCCCTGGCCCTGTCCCTGCAGGGGCTGGTCAGGACGTGGGCCGGAGCTGCATCCTGGTCTCCATTGGGGGCAAGAACGTCATGCTGGACTGCGGGATGCACATGGGCTTCAACGATGACGTGAGTCCGGTGGGTGGGCGGCCGGGGCACCTGTGGGGCTGGGAGGTCCTGCCCCCCAGCCTGGCCCTTGTCGTGGACCTGGGGGACCTAGGGTTTCAGGCTCCGACCCATGGGAGGGGGACAGTCTTGGCAAGTGGGCAGGTGGCAGGTGGGTCTGGGGCCACTGCCTTCCTGGGCAGCCCCCACCATCACATGACAGAGGGGGTGTCCTGCAGGCGTCGGTCAGTCCAGAGAAGGGCTTGTGGGCTTCTGCAGGGCTGTGTGTGGTGGGCTGGGCTCGGTTACTGGCTCCGGCACTTGACCCCTGTGCTTAGAGGCTGTGAGCAGGCAGTGGTCCTGGTGCCGCCGCCGGATCCGGGTGTTGGTGTCCTGCTGCTTGGAGCACTGGCTGCCCCGCCCGTCACCTGAGACCCAGGCAGCCACTGCCCAGCGACACCCCACAGCCTGCAGCCTCCACAGGCAGAGCCGGAAAGGCTCGAGGAAAGGGTTCTGACGCTTTCTCTTGATTCCTCAGAGGCGCTTCCCAGACTTCTCCTACATCACCCGCAACGGCCGGCTGACCGACTTCCTGGACTGTGTGATAATCAGGTGGGCGCCTGCCACAGGGCTGGGGGACAGGGCTGGGGGACAGGGCTGGGGGGATAGGACTGGGGAACAGGGCTGGGGGACTGGGCTGGGGGGA